TCGATAGATTATACCATTTGATAGATTCAGATACAGTAGTGAAAAATGATTTGAGTAGTATCTGTAGCATTTTGGCTGAAAGAATATTGTGAACATATTACAAGAGTTCATTTGTATGGAGAATGTGAAGGGATAATGAATATGGACAATGTTCAGTAGATTTCTCAAGAATGCCTATGATTCTAAGACCAATTTGATCACTGTAGATTAGCTGTGGGCAATAGAGGTGGACAAGAGCCAGTTTTGATGTAGTGATTGAGGCATCAGACTAGGAATTGAAAGACCTTGGGCTGTAGTCCTGCCTTAGGCAAAAAGGAATGGGGTGACCTTGGGCCAGTCATTTTCTTTCAGCCCTAGGAAGGAAGCAATGGCAAATCACTTCTGAAAACCTTGTCAAGAAAACTTCAGGGATTTGTAGAGGCAGACTCCGAAAATTGGACACAATTGATGGAAGGAAAAACAATAGTAGAGTTAGGCAAATTTTCAAATCATTCTTTTCAAAGATGAATCAGTCACATCTCTATGACTGATTGCAGATTAATCGACTAGCGAATCCAATTGAGTAGTTGGTTTGAATCAGATACCTCTGAATTGATTTGAATGCGTCTGCACATGCAAAGAAACAATTTTCTTAAATCGATTTGGAAATCTGAATTGAACCGACGCAATTCAACAATTCAGTTTTAAGTCCAAGCTGAACTGATTTTCTGAATCACATCAACAATGGGATTTTGTATAGTACAACTAGCCAGTGGCTCTCTGGCTAAGGTCTTGTGATCCTCAGCCCACATTTCAGAAGTTTCTGCAAGCTCTTAGTTCAAAGTCCTGTCGAGAGTGATTTGTCTGTCCTGACAATCCACTAAGCAGGCAGGAAGCAGGAGAGAGTGGCGGGAGAGGGAAGGGTGGAAATCAGAAAGTGAAAAGAAAAAAAAAAGAGGGAAGAAAATCCCGATCAGCACATGACACATGTATGCCCATTCTGATATAGCTAAAGTTTGGTAAAAGAACCCCCCCCCCCCCCAGGTATATGTTCTTAAGTTTATCTGCATTGATTTTACAACATTTGCATTTTTATTTCATCCCCCCCCCCAACCTTAAAGTGTTATTCTGTTAAGGAGTATGATGCTGAGTAAGCATGCTGACTGCAAATGAAAACAAGGAATGAAAGGGGGTGAAGAGGTTAGTAAAAGACCCTACCCATGGGGAAGGGAATAAAGAAGAGTCATTTATAGTACTGTTTCAGCCTTTAGGGCATATGGAGGGTGAATAGTGGAGCTTTTGTGTTCTCTTCCTCCTGCCAAAGGAAAGATTTTAAGTCTTTTGCCTCATCTATAACATTTTTTTACTCTTTAGGTTTCATCCCCCTGCCTCTCCATCCCCCCACCAATAATTCTTAAACACAAGGGACTGTTGTGGAATACTTAAGTGCACAAAATAGATTTTAGCAAGTTCCATTCCTGTAACAAGGGAATTCTAATACAAACAGACCCGTCTGCATTCAGAAAAGCCCCTAAAAGCCTTTAAAAATGTGTTTTGTTTTAGTTTATGCTATATAAATAAAATGCTTGGATCTGCTTGATCTGTTTGGGGGCTCCAAGTTTGTGATGGGAAGGGTTTTTTTTCAGCTATGTGATTTTAGCTTCTATTGTTCATCTTTAAAATGCTCTATTTCCCCCCCCGCCCTTCTTCTTTTTCTCTCTGTTTCTCTTTTTCTCCTGATGCCCACTGCCCCAAGTGAAAGGTCTGCCAGATCTGATCTGCAAAAATTCAGCAACAAAAAGTGAGTGTTTTTCTGTTTTATTGCCATCTCTAGTCGTGATTGGATTTTAATAGTCCTGGCCTTGGTCAGCCGTCTTCCTGGAGGAAACTCCATCCAAATGATGGTTCAGCATTTGAATGATGAGACGGATCAATAATTTTCCTTCAAGGCAGTAAGCTGAAATAGCTTCCCAAGAGTGATTTTAGTATTTGGAGTTTCTTCACACTCTCCTATTTACTGCCCCATTAATTTCAATTGACAAAAAAGTAAGGGAGGGAAAAAAAATGCACTGAGATCGGATGTAACCTAAGGACAAGGCCCCGTCCTCACGATCCGATCTGTTCATCTCTGCTAAAGCACATTCATTTTACCTGTTATTATCGAGTTCTGTTTGATTTAGCCTCTGGTCCTTTTCCTGTTTACCTTCTCCAAAGCTTAGAAAGGCCTGAAAAAAAATCTATTTTAACTCACTCCTGGCAATAAGCAGAAATGGCCTCTTACGGATGACAATTTCCCCAATAGCTTGAATAAGTTAGTCCAGAGTGAGAAGAAAAATGTACTATTAAAAGGAGAGGGCAGTGAGCTTTTAACTTTACACCCCACTTTGTGAGTCTCATCAGTAGGGCTACAGGTAGTCCTCAACGTACAACCCTTTGTTTAGTGACTGTTCGAAGTTACAACAGCACTGAAAAAAGTAATTTATGGCCGCTTTTTCACACTTCCGACTCTTGCAGCATCCCCAGGGTCACATGACAGATACTTGGCAACTGGCATGTATTTAGGATGGTTGCAGTATCCCGGGTCATGTCATGTGGCGAGCTTCTGACAAGCAAAGTCAGTGGGGAAGCCAGATTAACCAATTAACAGCTGTATATACTAACTTAACAACTGCACTGGTTCACATAACAACGGTGGCAAGAAAGATGATAAAATGGAGCAAAATTTGCTTGACTGTATTGCTTAGCAATGGACATTTTAGATTCATAAGTTGGTCATAAGTTGAGGATCGTCTGGACTGTATTTGGGCTGTGGGAATCCTGATGAACCCCAGATAACAGAAAAGTAAAATTAGTGAGCCCATAAAGAGAGTAGGTTAAAAAGAAATAGGAAGACTCACAGAGGCATAGTGTGAAAATGAAGAACTGTGACTCCAGATATTAGAGTGGGCAATCTATGGCCCCAATGTGGCCCCCAGTTGATCTTATACAAGTAGTTGTTATACTATATATAGCGTATGTGTGTATGTGCATATGCATATATGCACCTTCAAGTTAGTCTTGCCTCCTGGGAACTGCCTGGACTAGTCCCTGCAATTTTCTTGGCAAGATTGCAGAAATACTTTACTTTTGCCAACCTTATTCATAGAGCTGAGTGAGTGACTGGCCCAAAGTCATCCTGCTAGCTTTGTTCCTAAGGAGAGACTACAACTCACGGTCTCCGAGTTTCTACCTGGTGTTTTAACCACTATACGATGCTAGCATTCTACATGTAGTAGTAACAGCTATTGTCTGAAGAAGAACCAACTTAACTCATTTGTTGTGTGTCTTATTTACTAGTCGCATTGTTCTAGGGGTATTCAAATAAATTCTAGCAATTTTGTGTCTGTTTTGGAGAGATCATTTCGATTTTTATGCTATGTTTTTATCAAATGGGACATTTCTTAAGGGCTGGGTGGCGCGTCTTTGAAAGTAACCTAAAAGCAGATATAAACAAGAATAATAAATCATGTAACTTATTACAGTTATTTATTTGAATTTCCCATATCATATCGCTCAAATAAAAAAAGCTGTGGTGGCTAAAGATAATATCTCCCTCCCCCTCAAAAGATACAGACAAGTGATGCCCTGCAAATTAAGGATGCTTTGACATAAGTTTTTATTATTATTATAAAGGCAGTCTAAGGCTTTCATACTTCTGAGGTGGGTAAAATAAGGACCCAGATTGTTGGGGGCAATATGTTGACTCTGTAAACGGCTTAGAGAGAGCTGTAAAGCACTATGGGTCGGTATATAAGTCTAAGTGCTATTGCTCTTACTAAGGTTTTTATTATAAAGCCAGTTTTAGGAATATATGTCTTTTTTCAGAGCTACGGAACAACAGCTCCAGGCCACGTAAATGGAAGAAGCAACATCTAAAGCAGGGCTATCCAACCCTGGCAACTTTAAGACTTATAGATTTCAACTCCCAGAATTCCCCAGCCAGCATGAGGAAATGACTGCCTGGGGAATTCTGGGAGTTGAAGTCCATAAGTCTTAAAGTTGCCAAGTTTGGACATCCCTGATCTAAAGTATAGGTTAGTGCTTGAATAATCAGATCAATAGTTGACATGTCATTTAAGGCAAGCCAATTACTGAAAGCAAATTAGAGATCCTAAAATATATTTATAATATAAAATATATTATATTTAAACTTTGGGGCCAAATTTATATCTATCTTTTTAAATTGCTTTTAATGTTTGTATTTATGTTTTTTACTTTGGCTGTACACCGCCCTGAGTCCTTCGGGAGAAGGGCGGTCTATAAATTTAATAATAAATAAATAAAATATATTCCGGGTTATATCGCCTAAATCTTCTCCCTTTCAAGTGCAAATTTTAAATTTTAATGTATTTTAAAATATGGGTATTTTAAATTATGGGTTTTAATTCAGCCAAATTTATTTAATTTATTTTATTTGATTTTAAATTTTGTATATGTATGTGTTTTATTTTATGGCTGTTCACTGCCCTGAGTCCTTCGGGAGTAGGGCGGTATAGAAATTCAATAAATAAAAATAAATATGATTCCCCCCCCTCATTTCCCCAAAACTTCGGTTTGTTAAGCTATTGGTTTTACTGGTCAAGCTACCATGGGCGGAGTGGAGCGAATGCTTTACATCCATAAAGGATCCAGCGAAAAGAACGTCAGCTCGCCATACAAAAGGCAGAGAAGCGATCCTGCTTCTTTTAGGTACATCGAGGCACACTGGCCGCTAATTTAAAGGGAAGCCGTCCGCCCTACCGGAGGCGCAGGTCGGAAGCGTCTCTTTAAAGGTGTCGCTCAGCCGGTCTGAATTTCCAGAGGCGGACCTGCCTTCCTTTCTCCCGCCCCCCCCCCGCGACCCCCCCCCCGGCACGTGAAAACTTTGTCGGGCGAGAGGAGCCGCTGAAGAAAAACTGTCCGAGACAAAAGAAGAAGGAGGCGGCGGCGGCACGACGTGGCTGGAGCTGGAGGAGAAGGCTGCGCTTTCCCCGAGCCCCCCCAAGTCCCCACCGCGGCGGCTCGCCGGCACGGCGCGTCGTGGGCGACTGGAGCCGCAGGGAGCGGAACCCTCGGGGTTTGGCGGGCGGTCGCTCGACCGCTCGGCCGGGAAATGTGCGAGCGTCTCCCGTCCGCGGCTCCGCCTCTCGCACCTTTGGACGTCGGTTTGCAAGGAGCCGAGCTGCAAGACTTCTTCGCCTTTTGCTCCGCGTGATCCAACCGAGGTGGGCTGATGGATGCCGGCTGCTGCTGCTGCTGCCGCCGCCGCCGCCGCCAGCGGTGCTGAGGTGAAAGCGGGGCGCTCAGCGACCAGGCGACCGTCGGTGCGAAGGATGCCCGGGTTGAAGCGGCTGCTGAGAGTCAGGCTGGGCTGCCGCCGATGCTCCGCCGCGCAGTGCCTCTTCTGGGCAGCGTGCTGGGCGGTAGGGGGCGGCCTCTTCGCCTTCTTCTTCCTGGCGCACGGGGGCGTCTTCTCGGGCCGGTGCACGGACGAGCAGAGTCGCCGGATCCTGGCCAAGCTGGTAGGTGGCAGCAGCGGGAGTGGCGGGTGCAGGACCTGGGATCTGGCCTCAGGATCAGCCCCCTCCCCCCTCAAATAGGGCCGGTGACCTTTAAGGGCTGCCCTGGCAAAGGGCGCCTCCCAAATCCATTTATCTCCAGGGCCATCGAGATGCGCCTTCAAGATCATTCCAGCGACTTGCATTTGCAATGGGTTCTTTGCTGTCCTTCCCTCCAGAGTTCGGTGAGGAAATTACTCACCGGGTGGGAGAATCGTTTTCTGTGACCGTAAACTCTGACCTTTGCATCTTCCAGATGTGGAGCCCTTGGTGCTCTCTGAGCTTTCTTTCTTGCGGACCTTTCGATTCCCTAACTAGGGAACATCATCAGTGCTAGTCTTCCAGATATGTTGTGTCACAGTTTCTAGAATTGCAATCCAGAAAGATACATCTGGACCTAGCTGAGAAAGGTGGTCTTAAAGCAGGGGTGAAATCCAGCAGGTTCTGGAGAACCGGTAGCAGAAATTTTGAGCAGTTCGGAGAACCGGTAGCGGAAATTTTGAATAGTTTGGAGAACCGGCTAATGCCACCTCTGGCTGGCCCCAGAGTGGGATGGGAATGCAGAATTTGCAATATCCTTCCCCCAGGAGTGGGGAGGGAATGGAGATTTTGCAGTATCCTTCCCCTGCCACGCCCACCAAGCCACACCATGCCCACCAAGCCACACCCACAGAACCGATAGTAAAAATAATTGGATTTCACCACTGTCTTAAAGCAACAAGATAGAAGTGTGGCATTACCACACTTTTGGATCACCCTCTCCTTATGGATGTGTCTAAAGTGAAGAGGCACAGCCAAGAAATTTTTGTAAATTTCTATACAAGCAGCATCACTTATACAGTAGAAATGCATTCTTAGTGTAATGGCTTGGGATGCTTTCCTCTCTGGGTTAGTCCAGATATAGTCCATTTCAGTCCTCAGAATTTCCAGCCAACACTTCTGAAGAGTAACGAACTGGAAAAGGCTGGAATATAACTGGGAAAGTCTGGACTTAAATTTCCATTCAACCATGCAGTTCATTCACTAATAAAGGAGAATATTTGTAGCTCAGAGTTGACATGAGTTGGTGTTGTAGGACGAAATATCTTTCTGGGTTCAGCTCCAAGTAGGGAAAAAGACACTGGAAACATGGAGACTGCTTGGAAAGATGGTTTAATGGTGGACAGGATCACATGGCTTGAGTTCCTGAACAGAAAAAGGGTGAGATATAGCGAGTCCCTGGGTTTTATGCTCTCTCTGGCTTTGAACTTTCTGGGGCCCAGAAAGAGTGTCCTGATTGGTTGTCAGACTCCCAGGTGGTGGGGGTCTTAGCTAGCCTTGCTGGCTGATGTAATCTTCCCAGGTGCCATGTGGTGAGTTTCTGTCCTAGATGGGTCCCATTGTGTTAGTGTCTGTTGCTATTGTGTTGCAGATGGGTCCTATTGTCAAAGATTGAATTTCTGCCTCTGGCCCATTAACAAGGGGGGGGAGGCAGGAAGGTGGGAGTTGCTTTGTCTTTAAAACATGTTTCTCCATTTCTCAACCAGGGAAACATAATATTCTGCCTTTTTAATATTTCCTAAAATATTTCATTCTTCCAGGAAAGGGGTGGGTGCTAACTTCCTACAGTGTTCTCTGAGGTTGCTCGCTTTCTTGCAGGTGTTTCATTACCCAAACTAGGTAGCATCATCAATGCTCGCAAGGAGTATAGTTTGCTGTGAGTTTATATTCTGGTGGCCACCAACAATGACAGGGCAAGCCACCAGAATATAAACTGACAGCAAACTACACTCCTTATTAGCACTGATGATGTTACCTGGTTTGGATAATGAAATGTCTGCAAGAAATCAAGCAAGCTCAGAAGCACCAAGGACCCCTTCAGTTCATTCACTCCATAGCCATCCTTAATTCTGAACCCACTTTCCTGGGTTGATGTGAAATTGAAATAGGGAAATGGCTTGACAGTCATATGTCTTTACATGAGAGTAAGACATGACAAAAATAATAGTATGTTAAATAAATGGCACATGTTGCACAAATTGAGTGCTGCATAGTCTAAATTATGGGTGTTCAATCTTGACAACTTTAAGACTTGTGGACTTCAGCTCCCAGAATTCCCCATCTTGGCTGGGCATTTTGGGAGTTGAAGTTTACACATCTGGCTGGGGAGTTCTGGGAGCTGAAGTCCACAAGTCTTAAAGTTGCCAAGGTTGGACATCCTGGTCTAACTGACTGTTCTAGGATAAGGATATTTAGGATATCTGAATAGGATAAGGTATGCAGCATGGCAAGAATGGAGTGGGGCTCATGTAGAAAACTCCACTTCTCCATGGAAAACTCTGACCCAGCGCTATTAACTTTTAAGAGGTAGGGTGTTAATCCTACAGTTAAGAATCGTTCTGGGCAGAAATGTATATTCATCAGAATTGCAAGAGAAATGAAGATGACAGAATTATCAGAGATGGCAAAATTAACTTGTTTGTTTAGAGAAGGATTGAAGCCATTTGCGTAAAAATGTAAAAGTTAACTTGTGTTCTGTGGTTCATATGATTAGACAGGGTAGATTATAGAAAGAAAAGCAATATGAATTAACTTTAGCGAGAGAGCTTAACATATATTTGTACTTACAACTGATGTGTAGAATATTGGAAGCCTTCTTTATATATTTTTTCTACGGTATCTTTTCTTGCACTTTCTGCTTTCTCTTTGCTTTCTTTTTCTTTTTTCTTCCTTATTTTATATTAGTTTGCCTTAGTTTTTAACTTCTTGTTCAAAAGTTTTAATAAAAATTATGTTAAAAGCAACTACATTATTAGTCACCGGAAACCCATTATGGACTTTTTGCTTAAGCATTGCTTATGGAAACAAGGAAATTATGATGTAACCTTAGAGGGCAAAATATAATTATAACTGCTGCTAAGAAGATTGGAAGCCACTTCTTTCTTTCTCTATTTCTTTTGCTTTATTTCCTTTTCACGTTCTTTTCCTTATTCTTCTCTTCAATTCAAAATTTGTTTTGTTTTTGTTCTGTTGGAGAATAGACATTTCTGTAAGTCATATTGAGAACTGTGTTAGGAGGGGAGCTTATATATTTGATAATGAGATAAAATATTGATAATAAGTCAGCAAGATAGATAGTCCTCGCTTAACAACTGGTCGTGTAGTGACCGTTCAGTTATCATGGTCCTCCAAAAAGGTACTTATGACGATCTGGTTACAAAGTTATTGTGATGGCTACACATCTTCATGGTCATATGATTGCATTGTGGGTGCTTGGTAACTGGCTTGCATTTACGGCTGTGTGAAGCATCCCATGGTGACATGACCACAATTTTCAACATTTTTTGCTAGTTTCCAGCATTTATTTCTGGTTTCTGGCAAAACCGTCCGTTGCGTATAATGCAGGGGTGAAATCCAGCAGATTCTGGAGAACCGGTAGCAGAAACTTTGAGTAGTTCGGAGAACCGGCAAATACCATCTCTGGCTGGTCCCAGAATGCCGTGGAAATGGAGATTTTGCAATATCCTTTCCCCAGGAGTGGGGTGGAAATGGAAATTTTGCAGTATCCTTCCCCTGCAACGCCCACCAAGCCGCACCCACCAAACCACACCAAGCCCACCAAGCCATGCCCACAGAACCAGTAGTAAAAAATTTGAATTTCACCACTGGTATAATGGATTTGTTTAACAATCATTGTGTTCGCTTAATAACTGCAACATTCTTTAATGACCATGGCATTTGCTTAATAACCGTCACGATAAAGGTTGTAAAATCAGGTGCAGTCATGTGATGACTTGCTTAACAACTGCCACAACCTATGACCCTAATTACATAATCATGTAATTATTAATCATTTAATAATTTTAAAATCCAGACCTTGTGCAGTGGCTCTCTCACTACTTTGAACCCATCTCTGTGACCAGTGAAAGAGCTGAAACCTTTTTCACTGCTTCCTTTTTCTTAAAAAACAAGAGAGACATGTGCTGCCAGAAAGAAGGCATGTGCTACTTAATAAAAAAAAAAGTACAACAGGTTCCAATAAATGGCTGTCTACTATCTGCTTACTCTGCTTTATGGTATGCAGGTCCTTCCCCTCCACTCCAGTCTGCCAAATGTAACTGATTACTTTTTCACAATGCTAAATGGTGACCCAAATACGATCAGGAACGAATCTTTTGAGCAGAGGCTGTCTAAGAACTCCCGAATGCTTGATGCTCTGAATAGGAGGCTTGTGAATATATTGCCATGAAAGGAGACGAGGACTGTAGTCCATGCTGATGAAGTTTTGCCTGGATTTTGAAAGGAAAAGGGGAGAGGAAGGAAAGGAGTCAGGCTGCTGATTAAGGGAAACAGTCTCTTGCCTGAAAAGCCTTTGCCACTACGATGGCATTTTTAGCCTTCTAGGCAACCATTAAGTGTCAATTAAACAAGACAGAGTACTCAGCTGATGGATCTCACTGATAAAACTTACTCAAAACAGACAAGAATTTACATTTCCTAATGGGATGTAAAATCAACGTTGGATGTAGATAAAAGGATGGCTTTCAGTGCATTTATTTTCCTTTTTTTTTTTTTGAACTGTAATCTATTTCATGAGATGTATCTGATTTGTTGCAATAGAGTAATTCGACAACTGTGGGGATAGATTTTAGGAACATTTCTTTGTTGTGATAAAAGAAGATTGTTCTGTATTATCTATAATACATTATGATATAATATATGGCAACATAGTGATAAAGTCAAAAAGTTATTCCATTATTTCTGTTTCTTTCCACAGTGAATTATTTTCTTCCTAAACAGAATGTTTAGGAAGTTAAAGTGAATGTTAAATTGAATTTGCTCGATCGGTTATAACCATAATTTATTAAACTCGTGTGCCACCTGACTCTCAATGACTCTGGATAGCTCACAACAATCAAAGAAATTACAATAAAATCAATGAAAGATGAGAAGCATGACAGTCCAGATGGAATGGAGGGAGGGGCTCACTCTCCCTTGCCAGAGGCCTGGGTGAAAAGCCAGGTCTTCACAGATCTTTTAAGCAACAGTAGAGTTGTGGGGGGGGGTCATCTAGACCTGGGGGAAACCTCAATCCAGGGGTACTCATTGCTAAGGAGAAGGTGCACTTTTGGGATCCTGAGAGATTACATTGTTTAATCAAAGGAACCCAGAGTGTGCCAAGGACCAAATTGGCAAGGCAGATGTTATGGGAGATGGGTGGTCCCTCAAGTAACCAGGCTATATGCCATGTACCTTTGCCACTGTAAACATTTTAATAAGCAAATGTTATCTGCTATGTTTCACAATTGTTCCATTACACATTCCCTGAAAATAAAATTATATTAAGGTCATGTGTTGTTGTTCATCTGAGGTTGTGGTGAGTAAAATGAGGAGCCAGATTTTTGGGGGCAATATGCTGACTCTGTAAACTGCTTAGAGAGGCTGTAAAGCATGGTGAAGCAGTATATAAGTCTAAGTGCTATTGCTGTTTATCTAATTTTAAGAACTGCAAGGGGGTTAAGGTATAAAGTCAGATGAAGCTCTGTTTCTTGTTTTCTTCATCAAACAGAAAAGTAACTTTAAGAGATATAATTCTATGGTAACTACCAATTGATGACTATAAATGTCCCTTGCGTGATACATAACAAACTGCAGCAAATAATATGCTGTGGCAGCAGGTTTGCCGATTTGGTGGAAATGGAACAATATTGATGATGTTAGCTAGTTGGGTAATGAAACATTTGCTAGAAAACAATCTAAAGCACCAAAGACCCCCAGTTCAACTCTGAATTATAAATATTCTCTTCTATTGGCAACAATATTGCATATTTTTCTTCTGACAGGCAGCTGGGAAAGTTTGATCGTTCTGAGATACTGTATGGAATATTTGCCATTTCCCACAGAGCTGCATTATTATCCCCAAAGGATTTGGAGCCATTGGGCCTGATTTGAGAATTGCATTTTGCTTTCATCCTTGAGCCTGCCTCTGCACTGATTTCAGAAGGAGAAAAGTTATTTACTGCTTATCCACAAGCCAGATAAGACAGTACTCTGCTTGGGTTTAAGCCAGTGGTTTTATTGCCCTTGAAGAAACCAAATTGTTTTATAAGCGAACATTATAATTTTAGCAATTTCTGATTAATCCCTGAAAAGGTTTGCTGATTTTAACTGCTTGTAATTTGAAGTAGTCATTTAAAGTTATTGCATTTGTTTGTTATTTATCTTTAATGTCTGAAAAAAAACTATTATGTTGTATTAATAGATGTGTTTGGATTAAGAATCGGGGAATTCACCTTCCCCAAAGTTGAAAAAGTTGTTTTAGAACCTTCTATTGATTAACTTTTGACTTACTTCAAGTAAGCACTGGGGAAGCTACTAGCAGAGCTCCTACTCATATAATATTACTTGCATGAATCTTCATGCAAAATCAAGGTTATTATATAAATATAATTTTAGAATGCTTGCATGCAAAAAAAACTTGATACAGATGTAAATATGAAACTTTTAAATTTTAGATGTTTTAAAAAGTTTTCTTTTTAAGTGTTTTAATATGTACATTATGGTCCTTTATTGTATTATGCTTTATTAAGCCATTTTTTTAAAAAAAACTATGTATATTACATTATTCATATCCTTTGGATCTGGTTACAGGGTTTCCAGACCTTTCAACTTCTTTGACTCTAGAGAGTTGTGAGGTAGGTGGATTTGTTCTTGGAGTAATCTGGGATCATGTCTTCCAATTTGCAAACTTCAGAAAATACACTTAAGTAGGATTTTCCAGCTAAGATGGAGGTACAAAATTTTCCCCTTGGCTAGGGTGAAAGAACTGAGGAAAGAGTAAACAGACTGATTGATAATTGCATCTGGAAATGGGCTGGAGAAGTTTGAAAATTCTCGCAAGGGTTGTATTTTACGTAGTCAGCATTTCTGAAGGCGCCTGATGCTCCTTCAGAATTGTTGACTAAAAGGTCAGAGAAAAACAGGGAGGAAGTTGGTATAAGGTCTCTATCTGACTATTTTGTTTTTGACATCTTCTAATCCACATCAACGAGTGTCTCCTTTAGAGATGTGCCCAGAATAAATGTTTGCAGCTGCACTTTCTCGATTGTAGTTGTGGTTATTGAATGGATGTGGTTATACAGGCTGCCTATGACTATCTTAGAAATGGAAGGATGGAAACAATTATGAGTGGAAGAAGGGACTGGCAGGGGAAATCCTCTTTGTTTCTTCCATACATTTGAAATGACTACATAACTACAGACTTTCAATCTCCTTTTAAGCTTTGCAGTCACGAATTATGGAATATATAAACTGCACAAATATATTCGGCTTCCATTCCCTTTGTTCAGGGATGTGAAGTTAGTTTAATAACGTAGTAAAGAAAGAGGCCGGTGCTGTGATCTAATCTTTTTTTTTTAATCATTGGTTTCTGCATTTATTGGGCTTTGTAACATATAAATAGACCGAATGCCGTGTTTTATATGGAACAAACACAAATTGTAGTTCACATTTACTTTTTATCATGTGAAATTTATATTGAATGTAATGAAATAATTAGAGTTGTGTTCCCTGTTTTTTATGACTTCAACTTCATTCCACAGGGTATCATCGCATGATATTAGGTGACCACTGTTCTGGATAGAAGAATGGATTGGATGCAACATACCTCTTTGGAGTTAATGGAGATTCAATATCTAGAAGGCTACATCTTGCCCATATTTTCATTCATGTCTTACTAATATTTATATATTAATCACTGGTTTTCAATATCATGTACAGAAAAGCCGTACATTTTAATAATTTTAAATATTATAAAAATATGTTTCTGAAGAGGTAGTTTTTAATGTGTTCTCTCTATGGGATTTGAACTCTTAATTACATGGTGATTAGCTAAGAGGCCAGCTCTAAGCTACAGAGGTCTAGAGCTGGGCTTTCATCATGAGACAGAAAAGTGACAAAAGTTATGATTTACTGTAATACGGACACGGTTATAATTTACCATTTACCATTTACCATAAATTTACCATTAACCATTATATACTATGGGCAAAGCTTGTTATCACAGCACTAGCCTTAAATGAGGCAACCATAGCTTTCTATGCTTATTTCTTTTATAGTAGTTTTCTTGCTTATTGCTCTTGCTTATTGCTCAGCCAGTTTTTCAGGAAAGGCAAATAAAAAGGGTTTTTAAAAAGTCCCATTCGGCCCATCACTTTGTTTGCATTTTTGCTTCCCATAGGATGAAAAATATATTTTCAAGATAAGAATCAATGATTGTCAAAGTGCTTGGAAAATTTTACTTTCCTGCCATTAGCCTTTTGTTGTTTCTTTGTTTCCATTTTCCTGCAGTGTTTTGACTACGGGACGGGCATGTTGACTGGGGATCTTTGTGAAGACTTATGCGTGGCCCAGACTTTGACCTATAAACGCTGCCTTTATTATGACCAGGGGAAAAAGGTAATCCAAGCTGACTGGAGAGGCCGCCCTGTGATCCTAAAATCAAAAAATGAAATATTTTCTAGCTACCATGGTCTTGGATTTTTGGAAGAAATGGAATCACAGGGAATTCCGGAAACAGAGCTGCTTCTGATGGTTGCTTTGGAAGTCAAGAACACATTGGGTTTGGAATTTCCTAACAAAACTGTGGGACCCTTGTGGAAAAGAAGTGGCCCACACTGGAAAGCACAGCTGGCTAGTTTGTGGTCTTTACTCCAGCAGGAAGAGTACATTTATTTTAGTGTTTTGCAAGACATCAGTAAACATGTTCTAAGGGTTATCGGTTCTTGTGGCCACTTTTATGCGGTGGAATATCTGACAGCCGGACACGCGTGGCATAGTACGCTTTTCTCCGTGGAAGATGCCGTTGGTGCTTCCCTCTCTGGGATTAAACACAAGGCCAAAGCCATAATCCAAATTGCAATCAGCTTTTTGGATATGGTGAATCATTTTGACAATGACTTTTCTTATCCTCTTCATCTCTGTGATATTAAGCCGGAAAATTTTGCCATCCGGAATGATCTGACGGTAAGTTAGGACCCAGCTTTTCATAACTAAATATAGAATTTGTTGTCGTAATGAAAGTTGTGAGCACCAGCATGTTGACTTGGGATCTTTGTGAAGACTTATGCGTGGCACAGACTTTGACCTATATTGTGATCAGGGTAATAAGGTTATATAACAGGGAAATGTCTTGCTCTTTGTTGAGAGCAAGGCAACCGTTTTCTAGATATTGCCAGCATTATATATTGAACCAGACTATGAAATTTTGCTATTTAAAGCTCTGCCCTTTACACTTGTGCTGTTCTAATATTCTACATTTAAGAGTCTCATTTCCTATGTGCTGTTCTGCAGTGTCAGCAAGAATTTTCTTGAATATATAAGCTATTTGCAAAAAATACTAATGGCAGGTTGAATAAGTAGAAGCTGGGCAAAAATGTTGATCTGCTTCTGTTTCAGATTGCAATAGACCAGACTTGCCTTCTACCTGAATATCTAACCACAGTTATTCTTCTCTTGTGCTTTCTTCCCCCTCCCCCCCCAACACACCAAACACACTCACTTTCATCATTACATAGTCATCAAAGTTTCTGACTTTGGGTTCCCACCATACCCAAAGTCAGTAAGTAGAAACATATATACCGTAGTATCTACGTTTCTACTTACCGTATATCTACTTCTGCCGTAAGTAGAAACGTATATATGTTTCTACTTATATTTTAAAAATGCATAAGTATTTTGAACAGAAGCTATCACCTTGTGCAAAGGTGATACTGGTTTGGTTTTATAAGAAATGTTATTTGGAGTTCCAACATCAGAAGCATGTAATTATGAAAGTGAAAAAAGAGTGAAGGTTCTCACTTGTAGATTCCATCTCCTTGGAGATAGAAATCCCAGTCTCCAACATTTTTCAAAGCTATTATAAATGTATAGCCTGGGAGGCAATTGGGGAATGTGTGTTATAGTCACATGCCTACAGGTGACAGTGGCTGAAGCCTGCATAGTAGGGATGGATAGTGTTTGTGTTAATTCCATAAATGGATGAAATCAAAATCAAGAGTGATGAAGGCACTAGCTCTTCTTTCTCCACATTTATCGGTTATGTAAGCACACATTTTTTTACATGCACTGATCCATTTGCACAAATATTAGCCACCTCTCCATTAATTGTGGAAAACAGCAAAGTGGTTTCAATTGCTTCCTTTTCTTGTGCTGTTTCCCATTCTACCTTTTTCACACCTACACAATCAGGCAAATACACCTACAGTCACGTATCCATTAGTTTATCTCCATTCTGACACTTTCTATCAATCAATACATAATCCTTGATACATTTTCCTTTGCCTCATTCCTATACTTTCTTCCATTTTATACATTCATACAGGATTCATACATTAATGTTTAATCCACATCTCCTTCTCAGCATACCAGGAAAGGGGTAAATGAAATACCCTTTTAGGAAGCAGGGAAATTCAGCAGAGCTTGATATTTGTTGAGGGCCACCCTGGAGGCAAAACCAGGAGGCTGCCCTCCTGTGTCAGAGATGAGTGGGAGAGATTTATTTTCTATTGCATTTCCTGACAGTCTTAAAATACACTGGGCAGTTTGCAAGAAAGCATATTATTGATTTAACCCATCGTGAGCTTTTGGGGAAGATGGAATAGATATTCAACTGAGTTCTGATCTCAGCATTAGTTTTATAAGGACTGAAAGGTCTATAAAAGTGCTTTCAACTCATGTTTTCAACTTTAATTAACTTTTTAATTAACTTTATTTTTGTGACGTGAAAGCTAGCATAGCTGCTAACAGAATCGGTATTTATTTAAGTAGCAATAGCAATAGCATTTAGATTTATAAACAACTTCACAGTGCTTTACAGCCCTCTCTAAGCGGTTTACAGACTCAGCATATTGTCCCCAACAACCTGGGTCCTCATTTTACCCACTTCGGAAGGATGGAAGGTTGAGTCAAATTTGAGCTGGTGAGAATCGATCTGCTAAACTGCAGCTAGCAGCCAGCTGAAGTAGCTTGCAGTACTGCACTCTAACCACTGCGCTACCATGGCTCAAGTACTTATACAGGTAGTCCTTGACCTATGACTGGTCATTCAATGCCTGTTGAAGTTATCCTTCAAAAGCTACAGATGATCTTTTTGAAGTTATGATGGCCATATAGCAGCCCCTCCCACAGTCACGTGATTGCATTTTGGGTATTTGGCAACCAATTCACTTTTATGGCTATTTTCACCATCCCGCAGTCATGTGACTGCTCTTTATGATGCTATTTTGCCAATTTCTGGCATTTACTTCCGGTAAGGGATCCTTGGTGCTGTCTGAGCTTGATGTGACTAGGACTGATGATGTTAATTTGGGTAATGAAACATCTGCAAGAAAAGCTCAGAGAGCATCAAGGACCTCTCATTTCAATCCTGAGCTATATTGTCCTTTATTAATTTACTTCCGGTTTCTGTCAAAAATGCCAATTGGGGAAAATTAATCCCCTTAATGACCATTGGAAAAAATGTTGAAAAATCGGCTCAAGCCACATGATGCTTGATACCTATCTGCAGCGACTTAATGCTGAACTCAATTACAATTGTAAGTCAAGGATACCTGCATAGAATTCCACACTGGAAAGTCTGATGCTAAGGTGACTTAAAGGTATAAGAATAATTCAATTTTCTATTTCTTAGGCCATAAGACAGTCTGAATTATTAAGTGGTGAACAGATTAATTTTCCTGGATTAATTATATATTTACTCAAATTCAGCACAATCATTGCAGAATGTCCTTTTATGCATGCAGGACTCTTTCCAACTGACTGGAAGATATTAGCTCCTGCCACTATCGGCACTGCTAGCCATTGCTCAACGTCATAGATACACAGTGCTGACTCAGCTGCAATAACGTTGGTATTCATCTCACTTGTTAATCATGCATATCTATCCAAGCAACACACGTGCAGCTGCAATGCAACATGGGATAGTGCCTTTCTTCAAGAGAAGATTGAAGTTCATTGCAAAAATTAGAAGAATCAAGGGCAAGTGCACAAAATGACTGCAGAAAGTGGAAGAAGAGAAAGAAAACACAGTAAAATTTCAGTTTAACCAGAGTTCCACTTTGCAGACTTCAGATGCAAAGGACAAAATTTCTACTTCACCTCCTGAAAATAATTGACAAGCTTTTGCATCTAAAGAGGTCTAGAAGAAACACTTGAATTTGTGCTAACTGACATTATTTGTTTATTGAGATCTTCATGTAAATTGATGCAAATGAGGTGATCTGTGTCAGTTGCATAATGACATAATGCAAATAATGTAGGCCACATTTGTGTAGACCACAAATAACATACTTTGGGATGTAATGGACATTTAGAAGTGAAAAGACACCTCTCATTCAAATTATTCCATTAAATAGAAAATTTATGTATAATTATTCCTACTAGTATTAAAAGTATTTCTAATTCTGCTTAGTAACTGGAATTCTCCAGGCACGGGCAAGTTACGGTGCTAGTTAAAACATTAAATGATTCTGTGCATATAATCCAAGCAAAATAATACTGTAGTGTAATCACAAAATACATTTAATGAATAGTGCAGGAGACCAAAAATGCTGTTCTCTTAAAATTAAACCAAATGGAAAGTTATAGAAATGTCAGAGAGAACAGGAATGTCTTTGACTCACTGGGAGGTGGGTGACATTCATATCAATTTAATTTATTGTTGTTGCTGTTGTTATTAATTGCTTGGTGTCAAAAAGATACTGGGGCAGAGGATGAAATAACAGATTTAAAAAAAAAAAAAAAAAAAAACAATCCCTGTGCTGGCATTTGGAATAGGGAAGAGAAAATAAGTCATTTTCAGATTTTTTTTTAAAAAAAGTAGGAAAATGCATGGAGTTTGACTGGAGAAGAGGAATCTGAGAAACAAATGACAATCTGCCTGGCATTTTGAATAGTCAGCCTAGAATGTGTTTCAAATTCCTATTCATGTTTTTGTTGAAGGCTTCCTGTAATTTTGTTCCAAACGCTGCCCTTAGAGGACTCTCTGACCAATCTGCCAGTTTTGCTAATACAAATTAATGAAGTGGCCAGCAATGATACCAAGAGAGAAAGGTTATTTTACTAATGCTGCATATAATTGCTTTTTGAATACGAAAGAAAACTCTAGGAAGCTTCTGAGTTATAGCTTAGCCTTCTCATAATATTTGGTCCACAATCTAATTGTGGCCCGCTTACTTGCTTGCATTCCAATAAATATAATGAAACAAAAGGCAATGAACCGGAAATGTTTTCCATTAGAAGTTCTTAATGAAAGAGAAACTCAAAAGAAGTTGCAAACATAAGAAGAGATGTCAAGAATTACCGATGTTCTTGATAGTGCCTGCATTAACCTGTGGAAAGCCCAGGGATGTTTTCAAAGAATAGAATAGAATTATTTTATTGGCCAAGTGTGATTGGACACACAAGTAATTTGTCTTTGGTGTATATGCTCTCAGGATACATAAGGAGAATAAAATACATTCAAAGAATGGAAGGGAGTGGGAATGTGTTGGAGTTCAGGAAAATCAGAAGAAAGTTTCAGATTCAGAAATCTCACCCTGTCACTCGGGCTAATGGGATTTTAGACGTGTTTTCTTCATCTGCTGTCTTTCTTTTTCACTTTTGACATGGATCATTGAAAGACAAAAATTCACAGAGTATGTCATTTAAAAATAAATACGAATCAGCTTTGGAATTATTTTTAATCACACAGAGGGCTGGAAATGATTGAAATGCAATAAATAAATCTGGAAACCAGCAATATTTGAAACAGCCTCAGTCAGCTCCATTGCTATTTTTAAAACTCTCCTCGGTCTTGTTCATACAACATGCTTAACTGGATCAGTGGAGAAAGTTGCTGGAGAACTTCCAGAAGAGGTGAAATGATCTCACCAACTAATTTCTAGGGCAGTAGTTTGCAAACTTTGTATTTGCATGATTCTCTGAAATGATAAATGTGTTTGTGTGACCTCTCTGCCATGGCTAAACCTCATTATTTCGTTGGTGTTAGCAATAGCAATAGCACTTAGACTTATATACTGCTTTACAATGCTTTACAGCCCTCTCTAAGCGGTTTACAGAGTCAGCATATTGCCCCCAACAATCTGGGGGCAATTCTCATTTTACCGATCTTGGAAGGATGGAAGGCTGAGTCAACCTTGAGCCTGGTGAGACCCGAACTGCCAAACTGCTGGCAGCTGGTGATCAGCAGAAGTCGCTTGCAGTACTGCACTCTAACCACTGTGCCACTGCGGCTCTTAGGGATGAGCGAGTCTTTTTTGGGAGGGGAAAAAAAGACTAACAAAAGACTGACATGGCTGTCCTGGGTCATGTGCTGCCAATGAATTATACCAAGAAAAGGGACATCTTGGAAGCAGGACTTTTAGGTACAAGCTTATCCTGGAAATCTGTTGGCTTTAGCTGTGGCAGAGCTGAGCCTTATGCTACAAGACCTTTTCAACTGACATTGGTTTATAAATTACTCTTCCGTCACTCACTGTAAATGCTGACATAAATAATTAGGGATAGATTTTCGGATGAGCCCTGTTAAGTTTTTTTCATGAAACAGGCCATTAGAAGCTGTGATTACGTTTTATAGTTTAGTCTGTTATAGCTCACAAGCAAATCATGTTTAATCAAACCACGACTTAAGAAGAACACGTAAACCCAGCATAAGAGTAACACTTTGGATCAAGAATAAGAAATTCAAATTATCTTGAGAATTCTCTAATCTAGAACCTAACATGAAACATATGGTTCAGCACTGGCTAGATTCAAATTGAGTAATTATATAAACAAGGTTGTGTCCTATAGATTAAGATTGGGTCCAAAACCCAGTGCATCTCAAGTAAGTCCTATTGGATTCAGATGTGCAGCCATATGGGCATTGAGCTTCCAATTCTGAGCCTTAGCCCAATGCACTTTCAACTACAGGTAGTCCTTGACTCACAACACTTCATTTAATGATTGTTCAAAGTTACAGTGGCTCTGAAAAAAGTGACTTATGACAATTTTTCACACTTACAACCATTGCAGGTCACATGATCAAAATTCAGATGCTTGGCAAAAGACTCATCCTGTATTTATGACAGCTGCTGTGTCCTGGGATTTCATGATCTCCTTTTGCGACCTTCTAGCAAGCAAAGTCAATAGGGAAGCCAGATTCACTTAACAACTGTGTTACTAACTTAACAACTGCAATGATTCATTTAACAGCTGTGGCAAGAAAAGTCCTAAAATGAGATTCATTTAACAAGAGAAGCCCTAAAACGAGGCAAAACTCACATGACAAATATTTCATTTAGCAACAGAAATGTTGGGCTCATTTGTGGTCATAAGTCGAGGGCTCCCTGGAATCAAAATATTTTGTCTCTTTCAGTACTGAAGCTGATTGAATGGAGTAAACCTCCAGAGTTCATCAGCAACTTTTGACTCATTCTGACCATTGCATTTACTGTATATCAGGGGTGAAATCCAGCAGGTTCTAACAGGTTCTGGAGAACCGGTAGTGGAAATTTTGAGTAGTTCAGAGAATCACCTTGGCTGGCCCCAGAGTGAGGTGGGAATGGAGATTTTGCAATATCCTTCCCCTGCCACGCCCACCAAGCCACACCTACAGAATTACTATGGAAAAATTTTGGATTTCACCCCTGCTGTGTATCCATTAAACAAAGGAATACATTTTTTTTTAAAAAAAAAAGTGAGCTGCAATAGGATGCTCAGTACCTCGGGGGTTTCATCCAGTTCTGGAAAATAGTGGTACCATATTAAAAAAACCCAGGAATCTCTGTATGAAAAAGATGTGTTTTATCACTGAGAAGGGATATGCCGGTCCTTTTTGCAAAAGTACCTAAAGGTACTTTTATTTCATTGATGAAATAAAAGAAGGATATGTCTTTCGGTGGCATTTGCAGCAAGTTCTGACAAAATGACAACAAATGTACTTGATGGTCATTATACATATTCAGGTGGTGAATTCCCGCACATTTGTCAGTTGTTTGTCCTCAGCTGCAGAGGCCCAGGGTGTCCTTAAAGAATTGTAATAATTGCAAAGTTCACATTTTCTCCACCATTTCCAAGGAAAGCTTATGTTTTCTTTTATAGAATAGTAGTCAGTTTGAGTTTCAGAGGTAGTGATCAACACAGGTCCTGTATAATTTCTCATTTTCTCTTGAATTTATCCTGCATTGCTTTCTCTCAGAACTCAGAATGTCCTAAATTGCATGGGGTTTTGGCTCAGAGTAAATCAACCTAAATGCATTGCTCTGATTGCAGGTGGTTGCCATCGATGTAGATATGGCCTTTTTTGAACCTAAAATGAGAGACATCCTCGAACAAAACTGCTCAGGAGATGAAGACTGTGTTTTTTTCGATTGCTTTTCCAAATGCGATCTGAAGAATGGAAAATGTGGAGCAGAAAGAGCCAATACTAACCTTCAAGTGAGAGGCTAAGTAGAAATATTTTTATTTAAGTGGCTGTGTGCCTCTGCTTTAAAATCCTAATTACTGCACTGATTAAAATGAATGTATCCATGATTGGCATTTGGGCATGTTCACATACATCAGCATAATCACTAGGTGCATGAAGTCCCAAGTAGTGACTTCAAGATACAGCTATAAATGTGCTCAGAAACACCAGCCACAGACAGATCATGCAGGGTCATATCATGTCATACTTTTTAGGGTTAAGACAATTAACAGGTTCTGTTACTATTCTAGTCTCTGCAGTAGCATCTGTACTGTCAACATCTGGTGTAGCATCCTCCACCACAGTGCCAGTGGTAGCTAATGATGCCGGACACAGAGCATGGCATTTCATAATGCAATAACATTGTATAACTTGGCAAGTTGTTCTAAAGCAGTGTTTCTCAACCTTTATAACTTTTAAGATATGTGGACTTCAACTCCCAGAATTCCATGCTGGCTAGGAGTTGAAACCCGCACATCTTAAAGCTGCTAAGGTTGAAAAACACTGTCCCAGTTGTTACAATATGGAAGGAGAAGAATTTGCCAGAGGAGTGATCTTAGTAGCCTTTCCCATAATGAGTAAAACATATAGCTCCACTCTCAATAAGGAGTCCAATTATCTGGTAAAAATGGGCCCTTACTGCTTGTTAATACTAGTATGACTATGCACAATATTTGCATAGGTAAACAACAGCAATTTATTCTATAATGTTCAGTTACAAAAGAGCTAGAGCAGGGGTCTCCAATCTTGGCAACTTTAAGACTTGTGGACTTCAAACTTGCAGAGCCAACATAGCTGGCTGAGGAACTCTTGAGAATTGAAATCCACAAGTATTAAGTTGCCAAGGTTGGAGACCCTGAACTAGAGGACTTTATTATCACATAACATATTCTTACTTCCAGAACTTATATTGTATAACTGGTTGCTGTGTTTTTCTTCTGTGAATGGATTAACTTCATATGGAGGTTTTGCTTTGAATGGTTGATGGTCAAAAATGGTTCTCTGTCTCACATTTTACAATCAGTGTAAAGGTCAAATATATTAATCTGATCGTGTTCCTATTCATTTTATTGGAAACCACTTCTATGCTTTCCTCAGAGTAAGTCTTGAAGTTGGATTAAGTATTTACCTAAGAGAGGAGTAGGCAGAATAAAATTTTATTGAGTTTTTATTCCTATAGTTGGGTGGAGAACCATTTTTACTGCTTTGTGCGTCACCAAGGGTTAGAATTACAATATGGGCAGCTATATAAATCTTTTAAAATAAATGATAAATAAAACAGTGGGGAAATTTGTCAGCAGCCAGAAGAGAGGAAAAACCTAAAGCATAACCTGCCTCCAGTGCAGAGTGATGCAATTTATTTAGATGCCAGAAGTCAGTCTTTTGGGCCAGATGGGATGTGTATGTGTTTGCATTGATTTATTTAATGAAAAATGGGCTGGGGAACTCTTCTGCCTGGGGATAAAATGTTGTCTTTGGGTCTCATCTGGGGGCATCGTAACATCAACATTGAAGTCTGTGGACTCAACAGATTTTCAACTTTTTGGTCTAGGAGAGGGGGAGTTAAAAAGTGTCCTTAAGCCTCCACAGCTTCAAGGTGCCCACGAAACCTCCAAGTCCCCTGTATAAAGCAAAAAAAAAAAAAACAACAACAACCTGAGACTGATCACATTGGCCACCAATGGGGCTGGAAGCCACAACTAAAATCCTTGGGTAGAGGGCTGATTGCTGGTTGTTTCCTTTGCCACACAGTGTATAGATTTTTCTCTGCCCAAGCAGAGTGAGTCACTTGTATAAAAATTGCTCTGAGCCAAGATCTCATTACAGAATGGCCCTGTCATGGTCTGTGTAGTGTTTATGTGTCAGATTTTTATTTTATAGCCCTTATTGTGAGGGCTTTTTGAGCCATATAGAGCCAATGGGAATTTAGCAGCATAGAAGCCTTAACAAATAATTTTAAAAATACATCCATAAATTGCAAAGCGCAACAGGACTGAACAACTCACGTGATTCTTCAGTACAAGACTCTGTTTTTCTTTTTTTTCCAATAGGTCATCTGTGATAAAATATTTCGCCCCTGGTTCACTCTAAACCTTGGAGGATCAGCCGTTTCCTTTCCCATGCAGCTGCAGTTACAGGAGGCTGTGCATGATTGTGCACAACCAAGGATCAAGGATATTTCCAAGATCCAGAGCAATTCTGCAAATTCTTTTTCTCAGCTGTACCACTTGCTCCAAGTCAGCCAAAAAGAACTTCAGAAATCTAGTCTAGCAGATTCATCAGTTATGGCTATCCAGAATACATAGCTTTTTCTTATTGCTGTTGCTGAATTAAATTATTTTCTACTTATTTTTTATTTTACTATATTTTGAAAACCACAACTGAGCTTGATATATATATATATATTAGAATGAAATCCTGATTTAACAGACTTACATTCAGTAGACTTTGGATACAGTGGACCAAATTTCTATTTGGACAGCTCCCCTGAAATAACAGAAGTCTGTTGCACATAGATTTGTTTAGATTAATTTACACTAATTTTAATTTACACAAATTTTCTCTTAATTTTATGATACAACACTTTATGCCATTTGCATAATGATATCATTATGTAAGTGATGCCAGTCACTGTGAAGATGTACTTTTGTATTTATCAGGCATTGGGAGTAACAAATATATCCTCCTTTCATCAAATGGTACATTCAGTTGAGGTTTAGCAGTATTAATTCTTTCTGAAATGTGGAAAGCAGTAATATCAGCCAAACTAATACAAGACTCAATCATTTACATTTCAAAGTATTTAAGGGAGGAGAAAAATAGAACATCTTAGTAATTTAATTTTACTTCTAAAATGAATAGTTGAGGATGTGACTTGAGTGTTTCATAAACATGCTCAATGAAGATCTTTGCAAAGATAGCGTTTCATATTTTAACGAACGGCAGTTTTTAAATAAATTTATCAGTTACAGCCTCCTTGTTGCTCATATTTAGGTCAAATTATTTTAGCTTAACAAAGTTTAGTGATGGAACTGGAATAGAGAATAAATGCAATGTCATATTGTTGTTATATCTGGACCCGCAAGTTGTGTTCTCTGTTTGAGTGATGCTGTAACACTGATGGAATTAACTAGCAACTTTATGAAGGACAAATACATATATTTGACACTGTTTACTAGATTGTAATCCAAGGATAGCTTTAAATCAGGACCAGCTTGTTTTATGGCTGCAGTCTCTTATGGTAAACAGGTCTGAGATGGCATGACATTGGTTGGGACCAAAACTCAGTGCTAATACCCAATGATAAAACACTGTTTTTTTCTCTCTCTAACATCCCAGCCAGTTTCTTATTTTCTTCAACATCCTCGTCCTTTCCCAGGCTGGGAAAGCTATAAAAACTATAAGTGAAATAACTTTTAGCAGAAATCTGACAAATCTTTTCCAAGTGGTTTTTAAACTTAACTGCTGTGATGAAGTTGGATTCTCCTTATTCATAATTCTCCTTATTCATGATTCTCCCACCTGTATTTTTCCTCTTATTTGAACCAATTCCTTTGAACTGCATATTCCACAAAAGTGTGAGAGGAGTAGGGGTGAAATGCTACCGGTTCGCACCGGTTCAGGCAAATTGCTAGCGGCGGCGGCGAGTGATTTGGAGAAGCGGTAGCGGCGGCAGCCCACCCGCCCGGACGCTGTTACTTCCTGATTTGAGGACTACCTGTGTTCATAAAACATGCTTCACCTAGTTCAGGGGTGTCAAACTCACGTCATCAGATAAGTGTCACATGACATATTGGGACTTTTTTCTCCCTTCACTAAACCAGGCTTGGGTGTGGCCAGCGCATGACGCATCTGGCCTGTGGGCCGTGAGTTTGACAACCCTGACCTAGTTACTGGGTTAGCCTGTTTGGTGGGGTTTGTATCATGCCTTGACATGCAAACAAAACCAAGTACTTCCAAATAAATAAGGACAGGTTTGCAGCCTGGGTAAAAAATACTTGTCAAGTGGAGCTTCCTTTTATTCCTTCCATAACATCATCATAAATGAAATGAAACAGACGTTTTTTCCTAGTTCCAAAGCTTTAAACCAAACTTTTAAATGAGCAAATTATAGTTCTGTGCCATTACTTAGAAGGCTGCAGTCCTAGCTGATTTATCTGTAAGTCAAAATGAGATTTATTTATGAGGAAATAGGCAATAAAAATACTGGAACATGTTTTCCTTGCTTTATCGTAAGTAAAAGCTTCGGATATCTTTCTTGGACAACTGTCTGTGGCAAAGTGAATGAATAATGTGCATTTCAAACAAAAGGAGTGGAAGTCATTAATAATGTTCTGAAATATACTTAATGTTGTTTACAGATGATCAAATGAAACTTTGAAAAAAAGTGTGGCTAGTGAGAGAGCCAGTTTGACACAAAGGTTAAAGATACTGAATTAAAAACTGAGGAATCATGAATTCTAGTCCTGCCATAGACGCAAAGCCAACTGGATGATCCTGGGCAATCATTCTCTCTCAGTTCTAGGAAGGTGACAATGGCAAACCACTTCTGAAATTATTGGCAAGGAAACTTGCAGGGTTTTGTCCAGGCAGTTGCCAAGAGTCACAGTTGACTTGACAACAACAGTAAAGTTATTTGGAAACAAATTAAAATTGCCTATTATGTTTAGTCTGCTTTTGGATTTCATGTTATCATAGCTCAGAAATAAAAGTGTTACATCTTACATTTTTGAATAGCAAACTTAAGTTTAAAAGGTTGTATGCAGTCTGATTTGAGAAAACAAAAAGCCAGAATTTTCTGTTGCTAACCTATTGCCTAATGGGAAATTAACAAGCAACTGCAGGCATCTCTGTGGCACATTTGGCTGAGGAAAAGACACTTATCACACTTTTCACACAGTTGGAATTATTTCTTGAAATAGGATTAGTTTCCCTGGCACACATTTTTGAGCAAAGAAAGCCCTAATACCTGCCAGAACCAGGCCAGAGCCAGATTCATGTCTCCTGTTTTTTTCTGCTAGAGAAAAAATGAGCCAAAATATCCCAAATAATACAGCGATGAGGTTCTAACTTCCTTAAATGATGTCCTAACTTCCTCTCATCTTCCCTAATCTCTGAAGGTGAGGATAATTAAGTAATTCAAGAGGCCAAACTGCCAGAGGTCTCTTGCACTTGGAGCACACTGTAACTACAGTTACTAGAATTCAGCGTTCGCTTCTAGGAAAAGAAACTCCAAATCCTGGCTTTTGCATCATCATCTCACCTACTTGTGATCCTTGGCCCTTTCAGAAGCCTTACATGTGGCTTCTGAAAAGTTGCCTTCATTCATTCATTCATTCATTCATTCATTCATTCATTCATTCATTCGTATTCTAGAGTCACCCAGCTCGGTCAATGACTTTGGGTGGCTTACCATTCAAAAAATATACTACAATGAAAATACTAAAAATATTTTGAAACAGTAGATACAGCCAAAATACATAGCAGCCTAGACACATGGCCAGTTTGCAAGGCAACCAGGAAACAGGATCCTTAATACATTCAGCACCCTAGGCTCAGGAATGTAGCCAGGTTTTTAAGATCTTACGAAAGGCTAACAGATTTGGGGCCATTCCAATCTTTGAAGAGACAATGTTCCATAGATCAGGGGCTACTGCAGAAAAGGCCTGTCTTCTAGTCCCTGCCAGCCAACACTCTTTGTCTGACAGGATCTGCAACATGTCCGTGCTGTTAGAACTGGTTGGAAAAGTAGAGATGCTTGGAAAAAGTTGATCCCAAGGTATCCTAGTCCCAAGCCATGTAGGCCTTTAAAGGGAACCACCAACACTTTGAATTGCACCCAGAAACACATTGGTAACCAATGAAGGTCACACAGAAGTGGTGTTACAACTGCTGTATATCCGGCATAAAGTTTTGTGCAGACCCAGGCAACTGTAATTTATTCAATAACCTGGGTTTAGCTCTATGGCATAGAGCCAATATCAAAGTAAGCCAACAATTCTTTATCTCCCTAATAAGTAATCCCTTAGAAAGTTTCAGGCTTGAGCCAGCAATGGCCAATTTTTTCGCAGATCATAGAAGCTGTGTAGATATGAATTAGGGGAGATCCCCAGCTAGGAATGGGGGGGACGGGGAAACGGGACTGTTAGAGAAGAATGTCCATACTTTATTTTTCATTTGGCATCCAAGGCTATCCCTTTCCTTGTTTTCTGTTCCTGCTTTCTTGTCAGCCCCAGAGCCAATTTTTTTCCCTTCTCTGCTTGAGTTTTCCTATGCATGTGTTTACCTCTGTTAATACAACAGCTGTGGCTTTTCAGATGAAGCATGAAGAAATCAATTGCATTTCTGAAAAGAAAAAATCCCAGGCTATTTCCCTACTACAGTAGGTCCCATTCAGATGTATACAGAGTTACTGATGAACCAATTGTGCAAATACAGTTGTCTCTTTAGGAACAAATAATCAGATTTGAGCATCAAGCTGTAAACAAAGGTAAGTCCTTCCATTTCTTACAGAGAATAATTTCACGTGGTGGGACTGGCTGTCCTTTTACTGTATATCCTGACTGCCAGTTTTCTAGTTCCCAGGATAAAATAGAAGTCACTCCCCCCACCTTTTTTTTTCCAAAACACATTTCAAGATTGTTTTTAAAAGTCCTCTAGGGCTTTAAAATACAATGCTAAATAATTGTTTGATCATCTAAAACAGCCAACATCTGGGGTTTGTTTTGTTTTGATGTTAAAAAGATCTTTGAATCCATGCTGGATTTGGAGCTGGGTGTGGGTATCCTTTCTGAGTTCTTCCCATATTGTCCACCATCTTTTAAAGAGGTAAGTCTGTGTACATCCTTAATCTGGTATGATGTTTTTATATTCCACTTTTTGTTCACTCATTGAATGTTATGGATGTTACTATTATATTGGAATAAAAACCGGTTGGGCAATTCATATTTTTGCCTCAAACTACTCTGAACTTTTAACTGAAACATTTCAAACAGAAATTTCCCAGCCAACAGCACTCTTATTTTAACCTCCCCACACGTATCTCATTTGGATCACATAAGTGGATTACACAACCTGAACTTGTTGCAAAATCCCACCCACATTATTTTAATAATTACAGGGTTGCTGAAGTTCCATACTTGACATTTAAGTTCTGAGTGATTGGCAGGAGAAAACAATGCTCGTCTAAAAGTAATGTGATTTTTGATAGCAGGGATCATTGTTGTGGATGAAGAAAACAGCCTTTTTTATTTTTAAAGAAAAGATGTTTCAAATCAGAGGATGTATATCATTATTGTCCTCTAAAATGAGCTTATGTGACATCTTTCTGAATAATAGCCCACTCTTAATATGAAAGCTGTCAAAAGATTGGCTGAAAGACTTCTGTTCAATTCCCCTGGGATTAATCATTTCTTATGCTCCCTTGCTCTCACACAGCTGTATAAAATATGACATTCATTCTCCCTAAATTTAATTTCCTCTCTAGTGGCTTTTGATTTGTTTCCCTTTGAAAGGAAAAATATGGTAAATTCACAGCTTCCTTTGTTATGGGATTGTTAGAACCAATTCATATTTGAGGGTTGAGGATAGGCTTGCTTCCAACTCATTGACACTGTAGACACCAAGGATACAAAGGCATGTAAAGACCATCCATACCTTGTATATTGCTCTGTCACCACTGCTTTAAGGTGTTTAAATTTAAACTAAATTTAAGGGAATTTCCTTAAGGGACAAGACGAAGTGCCACCACCAAAGCAACAGTCAGATAAAAGGGGTTGAGTCTAGGGGAAAAATGTAATGTGAGCAAATATTTCACACAAGCTCTTTCCTAGGTATCATGAGGATAAAGCGGGGCAAACACATTCAGACTTGCCAGATTCTATTACTACAGCTTTACAATAAAAGTAGTATTGAACTATTGGCATTGGTTTCCTAGCCTGATTTGCTTTGAAGGACTGACATGCACGGAAGTTTCTGACTAGCTAAGATTGGCTCTGAACTATAATTAAGCATTCTGTTTTCAACGGTCTCATCTCAGTGGAGTTTGCCAAGGACAAGGAGTCTATCCTGTAGTCAGAATGTTTCACCTATTCTTGGCAAGAATCAGAGCTCAGGATTAAGAATTATAATATAAATATAAGATTATTTTAGTGATGAGATTATGGAGCATTTGTTTTCTAAGGTTTTTGAATTGAAATGAGAAAGATCATCCTACACTACATATGTCTCCCACCAAGCCCAGAACAAAACAAAACATAACCCAAATATCACTATATTTTTTTCATACATTGCCTTTTATTCTTCAATATAGGTTAATGGGTGGTGCTTTCATCAGGACCAATGAAAACAGCATTTCTTCAGAACTCCTTATTGTGCATAATGTTACAGAAATAAGAATGTTTAATCCTAGTTTAGGTCAAATATATAAACTGTAACATTTCAGAGTCAAAATTAATCCCAAGAGGAAAATTATGCACTGGAAAAGGAAGACTAAGTGTTAGGCGCCAATTGTAAGAGTTAAATGTTTATTTCTCTGGTCCTGAAACATTTTTAAAAAATGATTGCAAGGATATTCAGTCTGGAGCTTTCCCAGGCTTGTAAAAAATGTGGAAGTCTATTTTTATACAGGTGGACATGTATGGCTGGTATCAGCATCTGCCAACATTTAGACTGTTACTATTGCCTAAGCTCCTCAGTACAACATCCTGGTGATGACAGTTATGCCTCTTGTGCTTGCCTACAGCTTTGGCACCTAGATCTATGGATGGGGACTTTAAATTTTGCACAATAACCCAGGTGATGTAGAAAGGTCTTAAATGGCATTCTTTCAAACACCATGGGCCATGGTGGCGGGAGGTATTTGGGGGGAAAAAAGAACTACTTTGCTCCCACCTATAGTACCGTATATAGTTCTGCAGTTTGTTCCTTCCAAATACTTTTATTCTCACTCAAGTTTAAGTTTCAGAATTATTTTTAATTGGTGGGAAAATGCAACTGGGAAGAAGAAAAAATCCAGCAGGAATTGATTTGCACTTTTCTGCATGCTTTTGCTGTATTTTCTTACAGTATTTAAAGCTAAGCCCACTAACCTAGATAACCTGCAAGTAACACATTTTAAATACATGGATCTGCCTGCTTTATATTTAATTGGTCCCTGTAATACATCTTGTTCATTCTCTTACTGGTATCAGAGTTAAACCACTCCTGCCGAGCTC